TAACAACCGGTAGTCACTAGTCACAAATGAAGTAGCTACATACGCAAAAAAATTGATAATGCGATGCAACAAAAGTGGCACCAAATACAAATAGAAACAAGACTGCTCGTATCAGGGCGAAGCCCTGAATGTTCCGACTGCCCATTAAGGTTTATGGAGCAGTAATATCATTAAAAAATTAAAAGTAATAAAACAAAATGAAAATTTTTTTTTCAAAAATTTTTAATTTTTTTTAAATCATCCCTCACACGCCATATAAAAAACAAAAGAATAGATTTCGCTACTTGTAACAAATCAATTATGGCAAATAATCTTCGTTAAATCAATTTGGAACGATTTCTAAGACGGATTAACTCTCCGCCTACGCGTTAATAGCGCGAAATATATCGCGCGTTAATTGTCCCAAATTGGCCAAAATGGCAATGTTTAAACCCTCATAACTTTACGAAACATGATCACAGGTGAAATATCTTTTCAAATTTAAGCTCAGGATAATAATATCTTTTGAATGATATAAAAAAATTCCGTCAAAGATGGCTAGTTAAAAAGTCGAAATTTGTCTGAAGAAAAAAAACCCACCCCGAGCACAAATATTCCGTTACTTTCGTATCGAAAGTCGGAACAATAAACATTGCATGATATGAATTGGAATTTGGTCTCCCAAAAATCTGCAGAAAAAGAAATAGGTTGATGACATTCAAGGACAATTCCTAGTAGGTTTTTGTTTTGGCTCGCAAGGATTTTTCAAAACTGGTTTATCTATTTTTCGCATGTAAATCTTTCAAAAAAAATTAAAACTTTAATTTTTTTCCTTCACAATTTTCCAAAAATAAATTATAAATTTGTAGACATTGTTTCTGAATTACTCTTGCTCGGAAGTCCTCGATTGCCTTGCACTCTTAAAGTACTTGGCAGGAAATTATAATTTTTTCCAGGTTAGGTCTTTCATACGTGCTCAAAGTGGATCAAATTTTAAAAACAGAGGCGAAGCAGAGCTTCGCACCATTTGCGTTACAAAAGGGAGAAACTATGTTTATGTCCAAAAACTTCAAAAAGTTCCTGCCAAAAATTGGGACTCAGTTAGAGGGACAAAAAACTCGGGGCTCAATTACAAAATCCGTCAAAATTGGAACAACAAGGATTTGGAATGATCGAAAGAATACAAACTCCTAAAAAATTCAAGCGAGTAATAAGCCCAAAAATAAGCAGACGGTTAATAGTCTAAAATAGACGAAAAATTTCAATTTGCTAAGAATCAGTTGCCGACAGGAATCGAACACTAGGTTTCTTTTCGAGTCAAGCAAGGTGGTTACGATTGACGAATGATGCGGCGAATGACTAATGAATTTGGAGCAAAAATTTTAAAACTCAAATTCCTTGTTTCTAGGGTGCAAACATCATGACGCTCAAGACCACATTTTAAAATTCAACGAAAAAATGTTTTTTATTTTTTAATTTAATTAAAACTTTTTCAAAAAGAGTCTTTGTGGGTTAATTGTGAGCATTCAAAATTTTTTTAAGTCGCAATCTCAAAAAAGAACCCGGATCTTTTAGGAAAAAATATGAAATTACGCCGACAGAAAAACGTCCGACACACGAAAAAATTAAAATTCTAGCAAATATTTTTGGCAAAAACAAACTTCTGGCAAAAACTTGCATCTTCTCATCCGCATAATTTGGCAGTTTAAGCAAGAATTGCTTACACAATTCGAAAACTAAACCAACATAGCTAACGTCAACAATTATGAAGCCAAAAAATAATCAGAGAAAAAATTAAAATCAAAGTTTCATTACACAGAGGCAAAACAGAGCTACTCACCACTTGCATCACAACCTAAACATAAAATAAACATACGAAGTCAAAAAAATGAAAAAAAAAAATGAAAATAAGTCAATCAAAACCTAAATTTTTGTGGATCTCGACAGAAGTTCAAGCTACGCAAACATTCAGACATCTGAATATTGAATTAGCTACAAAATGAAAAATTTGAAGAAATACAAAGCCGTTACGCTTTTAGCAAACACAGTAATTACCAGTCGTAATTAGTATTTGAAGTTTGTTTTGATTTTCAAAACGAGTTTGAGCAAATCAGCAACACAGATGTACAAATAAAAACTGATTTTTTCTTACAAGTTTTCAAATAACCAAAGCTGTGACTTTTACCCAAGTTTACCAGCCCAATCAAATGCAAAATGACAATCCATTACCTTTTTACCGACAACGACATGAAATTGCGAAGTCTCGACTTTCAAATTTTTCAAAGAAAACAAATAAAGCAGAATCACTTCAAATGACAATGAATCCATACCTTATGCGTGGATCATTCATTTCATCTAACAAACCACTCATGGTAATCACAGGAACAGACCCTGAGTATTCAGAAGACTACCTAAACGCAGTTACAGCGAATTTAATTTTAAATATAGGCCCAGAACCAATAAATACAACACTCCATCAGAATTGGATACATATACGTACAGCTTTAATCCAAACCACACTTGACAGTGCAGCTCAAAAAAAGGTTTTCAGTCCTACATATAGAAACTAAATCAGATTGGAAACGAATCACACAAAAATTTTCAAAATTGTTTGACTCCGGAAGAAACAAGCAACATCAAAGAGTCTTATGCAATGAAATACGTGGACTCCCAAACGAAACAAAAAAAAACAACTCGCAGTGAGAAATGAAACTTTAGAACGAAAAGCATATTCCCTCAAAACACACGATTAAAAAATTACGAAAGTGACTGAAATTTTAGTGATGACTCTAACGCCACAATTACGCAAAATTGCAATACAAAGAGAGCATCACACCCATCATCATTTCGAGAACCCGATATTGATTTCTGAAAACTATTAGACAAACTAGAACAAGGTGAAATCACAATGAAACTAGAAGAAAACATGGTGGTCGAAAACATGGTCAGTTTTTTTTCTAATTTGGAGCGTTCATTTAGAGTAGACAAGGCTTACCGCTTAAATTCTATATGTAGACACTGTATGATTGGCAAATTTCCGCTTGAAAATATTTTAATTTTTTTTTCTAAAAGCTAGCAACTAACGAATAACGGTGTTAAAAGTCGTTTTAAAACCGTAAATCTAATTTTATGTATGATGTGAAATTGTGTTATTGTTATGGATAACCTTCATGAGGTAATTTTTATGAAAAGTACTTTTTCATTTTTATTACAGCTGATTACTCTTATTTAACGGAATACCGCTCAAAAAGTGGGGTTCTTAAATACTTTAACAAATTTCTCTATAATGTTTGCTGTAAACTTTGCATCTAGAGACAGTATTTGATTTTTCTATATAATAAATAACATTCAATAGTTCCACTTTCAAAGTCAATTTTCAAATTTCCTAAATTTATGCAGCAATGATTGCCGATGCTTTTATATGTTATCTCTCAAGATTTTTTTCAGATTGTTTGAGAATTATTTACCAAAAAAGCGCTAAAAAAACTTCTACGTTCTTAGACATTTCCTCACATCCTTCAAAATTCGAAAAAAAAACAATCAGTCGACAGAACTGAATTCTTTTCAAATAGAAATTGAAACATAACCAACAACAGACAGTTGAAAAAGCGTCAATGAACGCAAGAAAACAGAAAATACCTCACGTTTTAATGAAAAAATTGTATGCATTGGAGCTCTTTTGACAATTTTCTCATGAAATTAAGCCCATTTGGAAAAACTGGATATTTTTTACTATTCGCTGTGAAAACTGATAATTAAACTCCTCTTTTAAAATCAATTTTGATCACATTGTTTGTTACTTTCAGATTCTGCTGCTCGATTGTGAAGTTGACTTGTGATTTAACAAAGGAATTGATAAGTCAAACCACAAAAAAATATCAAATTTGCGCCTGAATGAATTTGAATTTTTTTTCCTTGTAAAACGAAAAAAAATCATGACCTAAAATAATGACCATCACTTCGTTTTTTAACATTTACAATACATAGCTAACTGGCAGTTGGAAAAAAGTAATTATCTTTACGATGGAAATCCACTGAATTTAAAAAAAAATCACAAATTAAACAGCAAAAAAGCAAAATTAAGCTTTCAAGACTTTTCCTGAAAAAAATTACAATACCTATACAGGAGTCTTCACTGCGTTTTACTCTTAAAAAACGAAAAAATCGGTGATATGTTACACACAGAGGCCAAGCTGCGCTTGGCAAACACTAGCGAGAACACGATAAAAAGCAGCCGTATAAATTGAAATGAGAAAAAATAGAAATAAGCCTCGATTTAGTAAAATTTCGATTCCTATCGAATTCGAACCTGCGACATCGAGAATTGGAGTCTAACGCCCTCCCTGACAGCCACAGAGGCATAATAAACCGCAATCACTATTCACAAATAAAGCAGCTACATATACCAAAGCAGTGCAGCAAAAGTGGCACCAAATACATAGACACAATTTTTCAAGTAATAGTTTGGAATATAACTAAAGACATCTTCACTAAATTTGCATGTAATAAATTGGAAAGCACAAAGCCACATTATGTGTCAATTGGGCGTTTTAAAAATTGCGAGATATACTGCGTTAGAAAATTTCTGAAATCGAGTTTCATGATTATTGTTTGAAACAAATAGTTTTCGGTTCATTTGATGAACTTAAAATGTGTTACGAAAAAAAAACCGGTGATGTTACACATGTGTGTTACATTTATGTTACACAGAGATATCACTATTCGCATGTTAAAGCACGTGCAATCAAAAAGCCGTACAGGTGGCACCAATAATTACGACGTAGGCTAGAAAAAAAGAGAAGTCATACTATTACACTTCGCTCACTTAAGTCGGCTAGTGTAAATGGGTGGTAACTTTGAGTATAGTGCATGTATCCAATTTGAGAATTGTAATGCATAATATAGTCATTTCATTTTCAATAAAATTAATGACCTAATTGAGTGTCTTCACTGTGTTCATTAACGCTTACCCAGAGATCTTATCTTCATATGGTTTCGCAATCTAGCCAGTTAAAAACATTTCAAATATCAAACTAATAATTTCTAGTATATCGATAGCAAGTTGAGAAAAAAAAACAAAATCAACTGTTAAGTTTTATGCAGTCCATTATATTAAAACTTCAATGTGAATCCTGAGCCCCTCTTTGCCAGTCCAGCTGTTGCGTTTGTCAACTGGAACCCGAAGTCAGTATCTTCATTTGCCACCAGCCTGTTATAGGCATCTCCGCCTTCTGGTGCTTTGGGACTGGCCAGTTTTTTATCCTTTGCCACGCCCCCTTCACTTTTAGCGGGCCAGGTGGGGAACTGAGAAGGATCTACTGGTTTTGGACTCTCTCTGAAGAACTCGTGTTTCAACGATTCTGCTGCTGTTAATCTTCGGTTGGGATCGAAAGTCAAAAATCCATTCAGAAGTGCAATTCCTTTCTCTGTTAAAGATGTCCCGAACTTATTTCTAAATCAGCAACATTGTAATTTTAGTTTTCAGTTCAAAAAAACTCTTCGATGGCGAAAAGCATTCAATTATTTTTCTAGATGATATTTCAAAAGAAAAATAAACATTAGCTGTTATGATTGTTTTAAATAAAAAAGAATTGCTTCTCTCGATGATTATCAAGATCGAAAATAAGAAATATATCAAACGAGCATTCATCAATAGGCAGTTTTCTCATTTTAAGATACCTGAGGTTGTTGTAGGGATACTCTGTGAACACAATTTTTTTCACCATCGGTAAATTAGGCCAGTCGGGCCAGATCTTCTCATTCGGGGTTCCCAGTTCCTTGAAAATCTGATTCAGCTGTTCCGTCTCACTTTTTCCCGCAAACATCGGCTTCTGAGTGAGTAACTCACCAAAAATACAGCCCACGCTCCACATATCGATGGGTTTGGAATACAGTTTAGTACCGAGCAGCAACTCCGGTGCTCGGTACCACAACGTGACTACTATTGGGGTGTACGGTTTCAGAGGACTGCCATATTCTCGAGCAAGGCCGAAGTCCCCTATTTTAAGCTGGCCTTTATGACTGAAGAGCAAATTGGACGCTTTCAAATCTCTGTGAAGGATCCAGTTGTCGTGCAAATGTCTGACTCCTAAAACAATCAAACGTAGCCAAGAGATCAATGAGACAAAAAAAACAACTGATTAGTTTTTGAACCAGTTTCAAAAAAAAAAATTTCATTAAATTTTTTGACATTATCTAATAAAACTAACCCAACCTTATTTGAAAAATGGATCAATAGATAAACTTTTATATCCGCTGGAAAATCTAAAAAAAAATCACTAAGACCTATATAAGAGTCTTCACTACGTTCATTACTCTGAACAATCAAAACTTGAAATCCACTTTTGAACCATAATCATTCACTTGCACATTTGCACTTGTTATTGGAGAGCGCAATTTGCCTACCAAACGAGTTTCAGATGAACAAAGAACTTAAAAAGATTAATTTCAAAAAAAAAATTTAAAGATTTTTCCTGATTGCAAGCTTAGCGACAACTAGCATGAAATCTACAGTGCACTGCCAAAAGCTGTAATTAATTAATTTTCGTGTTATCTTCACAGTTAAAGCTATCCTCATTAACTCAACAGAAAAAATGGTAAAAACCGCCCCTTGAGAGAAATCTGTTTAAACGCAAAAGCTAAAACAACGCTGTGGCTTTTTTTAAAATAAAATTAACTTACCTTCTAGGAGTTGCATCATGATGGTTTTGACCTCTCCAGTCAGAAAAGGCTGCTTCATAGTCTCCATTAACGCCTTCAGGTCATGTTCTACATAATCCATCACCAGGTAGATCTTATCCATATTACTGCCCACTACAATCTCCCTCACAGGAACCACGTTTGGATGTTGCGACTTCAAAAGACAATTGATCTCTCTCAAACTCGTAATTGGGAATCCTTCTCGTTCCTTTTCCATTTTCAGCCTCTTAAGCGCAACTATCTCATTGGTTCGCAGATCCTGTGCTCTATAGACCACACCGTAAGTCCCTTCGTCAATCTTGTTCATGTGTTTAAACTCATCAACACTTCTGCAACCTTGCAAGGCTGGTAAGTAAACTGGTAAAATCGGCTGCTCTTTTTCGGGCTGAATTATTTTAATGTGAGGTACAGGTAATATTTCCTTTGGAGCAATTACTTCAGTTTTAATTTCTCTGCTCACAGTGGAAGCAGATAACTCACTTCTGTTAGGGCTATTAGCCTGACTTGCGTTCTTTGAGCTTGATTTAATTTTGCGTTTTTTCTTTTCTTTCTCGGGTGAATCTAGACCATCATCTAGGTTGTCGAATTTGGATGTATATGCAGCTGGTAGTAGTCTCGGTCGTCCGTCCTCCTAGAAAAGCACATTTAGATATATAAAAATTCAAATAGAAAATTTACAAAGAGGTGGAGCTAAACTTTGCACCACTAACGATACAGCACAACAATTTTAAGGCAAGCAACCCGACAGTTAACGATCGCAACACGCGACTCAGTTTCGTGTCAATGAAAAGGCAAATAAAAGATTTCTTTTCAACAAAAACTACACAGAGGTGACGCAGAGCTTCGAACTACTTGTGAAACAATTCAAACATAATAAAACAAACATAAAAAGTCGGGGGGAAAAGTCGTATGTTTAAAAAAAACTAGGGCCCAGCTAAAGGGAGGCACCTGTTTAGTATTTTTGAACTTATACTGAATGAATTGGGTAATTTCAAAAACTGGTTTTTGTCCAAAACCTTAGTTATTTCTCTCCTAGGTTCGGAATTATTCCAGGCCAAAAAATTAACCAATCGCCGCTTCTGCAGGAAAAACCCTTCATCTCAGATTTGATGGGGTAGGTAAATGAAATGTCAAAAAGTTTCTAAAAACTGTCATAAGTTCAAAAACGTGACTTTCTAAAATCCATAAATTTTTCTATAAAAATTAGATCGTGGCCTCGTAAGTGAGAAGATTGCGAAAACCGAGTTTTCTCGATTGAACACTCAAATTAAGACTTGGCAGGAGAGTTTTCGAGCAAAGTCAAAAAGTTTCTAAAAAACGGTCATTGAACCATAAAATTGATTTTTATGAGAATCATAGCTTTTCGTGTAAAAATTAGGCGTCGACGCTTATGCAGCAGAAATTCAGATTAACTGTTAAATTGTATGAATCAAAAAAAATTTGGGCGGGTAGTTTTCCAGAAAGGTCCAGTAGTTTTAACAAAATCACTTTTCTAGGGGCCATAACTTTTTGTGAAATAAAAAATTGCAGGGTACCTTCCCACAATCGGCTATTTCAATCAAACCTCTATAAGGATACCCGTCTTTGAACATCGGCTAGGTAGTTTTTAAGCAAAACTAAAACTTCTGCAAAAAGTAAAAATTTTAAACAACTCAAAAAATTATAATGAAATAAAAAACCCAATTCCTTACATTTTCAGACGTCGAAAAAAATGCAAAATGTTGAGAAAAACTTAGTGAACCACAATTTTCGTATAACTCGAGGAAGGACACCTAGGGCCAGGCTAAGCTAGAATTACTCATTTGACATTTTTGAGTTTGTTATACTGAAGCGGGACGAAATGAGTAATTTCAAAATTGGATTTAGCCCAAAATCTTAATTGTTACTGTACTAAAGTTAGTGAGAAGACTGAAAATGTTTGAGATTCCTCTTATTTCGATTGAACCTTTAATCTCAATTTTGATTGGGTAGTTTTTAAAAAAATCCAAAAGTTGCCAAAAAAATGGACAAAAGTTCAAAAACTTGTCTTTCCTATTACGTAAGTTTTCTCTAGGAAAAGCTCGTCGTGGCTGGTAAAACAGAGAAGATTCCAAAATCGGGTTCCTCGATTGAACACTTAACCTGAGAATTGGCACGGTAATGTTCGAGTTAAGTCACAAAACTTGCAAAAAACGGCCAAATTTTCAATACTATTCTGTAACTTTTTTCTATGAAAAGCTCGTCGTGGCCGGTAAAACAAAGAAGATTCCGAAATCGGGTTCCTGAGAATCTTCCTGGATTGAACACTTCACCTGAGAATCTCAGATTGTTCGAGTTAAATAACAAAACTTGCAAAAAAAAAAACGGTCAAACTTTCAAAACTTGCACTTGTTTGAAGTCCATAAGTTTTTCAAAACAAACTGAACCTAGAAAAATACAAAGGTAAGCTTCCAGCAACCTGTTGTGTCGATTAAACCTATGATATCAGATTTGGCGAGAAAAGTCCAGAAACAAGGTTGACAAATCAGATAGTTGACAATTGGGAGAACCACAGCTTTTTGTTTGAAAAATTTGCGCGTAGCCGCTTATGCAGAACAGATACACCCAACCTGTTATTTCGATTGAACCCAAAAGCCCAGGTTTGGCAGAGTAATTCTTCTGAAAAGTCAACAAAAATTCAAACAATAAAAAAACGACTTTTCCGAGGAATACATTTTTTTGTTTAAAAAAAACTTGCGAGAAGCCCCTAACGCAAAGGAGCTTCTTATCCGTTATATCCATCGAACCTACAACCTCTAGTTTGGGAGGTTAGTTTTCGAGAAAAGTCAAAAAACAAACAACGGTCAAAAATATCACTATTCCGAGGGCCATGTTTTTATTTTTAAGGCTAATGGAGGGGAGCTTTCCAAATCCGCTCTGTTCATTGAAACAAAAATCTTAGATTTTGGTGAGTTAGTTTTTGAGAAATCGAAAAAAAATCAAAAAAAAACTGGTCAAATAATTCATCTACACACTTTTTCGAAGACTTAGACAAAATGGTAAGTTAAAGAGATGAGGGCATTTGAAACTCAAATTAGAAACTGGACAAACTTACGAATCGGAAACAAGGCCCACAATCTTTGAGCAGACACCAGTTAAGCCAAAAAGAAACGATTTAATTTTTTTTAAAGTTTCAAGTCCCCCTGAAACTATCCTGTATTAACAATAGTAGTTAAATTTGAATTTTCATGAAATTAAGCATGTCAGCTGTAGTATTGGAAATACTACACGGACAAAGGACGAGTGCCTAAATTGTTTAGTAAACGACCCAATTATAAACTGGAGCGTGCCAATTAAATTAAAGCCTCTTTTCACTGAATCAGATATTGACTGATTTATTCTTATTAGGACTATAAAATCTTGCTTTGAAAATCCACTACTTTTTAAACAATTGTCCAATTTTTCTCATTTGTTTATGCTCAGTATTTTAAAAGGGCGGCGATTACTAACACGTATTTTTTAACTAAAACTTGAAACAAGATGGATAAATATTTAGCAGACTGCAAATATTCTTGCCGGCTGCAAAGGAATTCTCCTTACTTTGATTAAGCAGAGATGCACCTGCAATATGATGCATCAGAGAAAATACTATGAACTTTTAATAAGACAGAACTGAAGGCTGCGGTTTTAATTTAAGGGGACTAATAATTTAAGGATATTTGATTTGAAAAAATCAAATAAAATCTAGTTGAAAAATCCCTTGAGGAAGGGAGAAAAAAGGAGCAGGTGAAATCTGAATACTTAAAGACAAATCAGCCGCCGGTTTATGCTTACGAGCAAAAGGACTGCCCTGAAATCTGAGACTTATAACTTAGGATAGATTACTAAGCAACCAACCAGCAATGATCGCTCACTAAACAGCATTGATATCAGCAAGTGATTTTGTCAGATTTGAATTTTAAATTAGCAACAGAACTAAACTTGCTAAGCGGAAACACAGCCGACTATCTTTGAGCAGAAATCAGTTGAGCCGAAAAAAAATTGACTTTTATCAAAAAAATTTTGAAAAGTTTCAAGTCCCCCTGAAGCTATAAGGACTAAAACTTGCAAACATCATGATACTTTCATAGAGCAAAAAAACCGTGATGTTGCACCCAAGCCGAACGAAAGTCCTAGAAATCAATTTTAACCGGAAAAATGTTTTTTTGTTTTAATTTCCTACACTTGAAAAAGGTCCTACCGGGACTCGAACCTTAAGCCTTAGGGTGCAAAAAAGATAGTGTTACCTCCAGGCCCAGTAGAAAGGGACCTGGAAGTTGTGAAGGTTCAAAATTAAACAGTTCGCGAACTTTTTTTAAGAAAAGCTGTTAACTGGGGAAAAAGTCTAAATCACAATTACAAGACACTTGCTTTCAAAAGTGTAATAATTAATGTTTAACTCACGTAGTCATCATCGGAATCGGGTTCTGAGCTCATTGACTCATCAGCTGTTGTATCCTGGTTCTGCATTGTTACTGCACTTGCTTTATTGGTACCTAACAGACAAGCTCTAGGTTACAAAAATTGCTTTCAAAAAGACTTATAATTTTGGACTAAGGAAAGAGCACGTTTAAATTTTTGTGTCGGATAAGGAATATGCAATACCAAAAAAGACAGCCAAATTGATTATGCGAGCTCTCCGAAATCACTCCTAAGACCGTATATTTTAACAAACTTTGCTGTGCCGTTTTTGGGAACTTTAGAAAGTTTTGACCAAAAATCGCGTTTTTCGGCGCATGCTCCTCCCTACTTATTCATTTTATATTGGTGCCTTACGAAAAACTTTAGAGTTGTTATCCAAAAATGGCTGTCATAAAATATTACCAAAGGGGGGCCCTTAGGGTAGTCAGGGGTCGAATCCCTGAGGGGGGAGAGGGCTTCCCTCCCACCCTAAATCCGCTACTGCCTTCTACCTGTTTGTTCGAGTGTTGAGCTGGAGCTGCTTCTGTCTGACTCAGAGGCACTCACATCCTCCACTTCGGCGTCTATGAGCAGACTGGCCTTGGTTGAGGCAGCAGAGGCAGTGGCCGCCTTCAACTCCATCTTCCTGCTCTCAATGTCCAGTCTGCTGGCTACTGAGTCGTCCCTGGTAAACAAGACTAACAGTCAGTTCTACTGAGATGGCGAGGAGAAAGAAATGCCGTCCAATTACACCTGGCTCTGTAAGTCGAATAAATGATACAGCTCATGAGGATCTCCTCAACTATTCCCCCCTTTGACACCTAGCAACGAATTGCCACCCCTATAAAGAATAATTCAACTGTTAACCATATGCGAAATTTGTACCTAGTAACAAATCCCCCCTTTGCAAAGGGGCTCGATATCCACTCATGATAACGAACCACCTCCTATCAATGAAAGCGACCTAGCGTTAAAAAAAGAACAAAATCAACCGCAACTGAGTCAATGTTTTTTTTTGAGCAGGAGGATACACAAGCTCAAAATGGACAAAACATGGCCAAAAACACTAGTCGCAAAAATTTAATGAACTCAACGAAGCAGAAAAAATGACTGAAATTTAAGTGCTTTCACACTAAATTACTAATGAGCTTAAGCTTCTTTGAAATTCGAAGTTTCTGATAGACTTTTTTTTTATAGAACTAACCAATATGAGATAACTGTATCAATTACAGCCAATTCATGGCATTATCCATTCAATCCAGTGTGAAAAAGTCGATGACGAATTTTTGCATGAGGTAAATGAATATCGTGTATTTTGCCTCAAACTTAAAAACGAATCTTAAGTGAACTTAAACACAGATCAAAACTCAAACGTCAAAAATTTGATCGAAAAAAATTCAAGACTTGTTCCTGAAAAACAAGAAAACCGCACGACCCAAAGTGAAATTTCACTTCTTTCATCAACATATAAAACCTTGTTGTGATTTTGTTCGTTGAAACTTACATGTCTGCGTCGGTCATCTCCGTCCTTTTTAACTCTGCTATTCGTCTTTCAATCCGCTTAAGCTCCTCCCTTGCCTCTCTTTGATCCTCCGTTGTGAATGATTCGGCCGACTTCGAGGGTTCAGACTCGGACATCTTACGATTATGGCCTCCTTTATCTCGGTCACTTCTATGTGACTTGTCGTTCTGTAATCTTCTCCTATCATCTGCCTTATCTCTCCGACCAACTTCATTTCTATGATGTCTGTATGCCTTTCTGTCTTTTCTATCCCTATCGTCTGGATATCTACGATCTGTTTTCATTTTTCCGCTATCGAAGTCTCCTCGAGCGTCCTTTCTTTTCGTATCGTACAAATTAATGTTTCTCCAGTTCTGTGCGGGTTTCCTTCGTTTCTCACTTGGGCTCTCACTTGAAAATTTTTATATACATGATAACCGAACAAACTCATAACATATAGGCGAAGCGGAACTTCGCACCACTTGCAGTACAACACAAAAAAGCAGCGAATTCGAAAAAATCAGAACTTACAGAGCGGTAACAAGCCGACGAAGCTAATTGCGAAATTAGTAATCGCAGGCGTAACAATTCCATGTTCCTTGGATCTAGTACCCGATTGCAATACACTTGCTTATCGCAGGGTTAAAGAAATTTAAAAAACTGAATACTGGCTAGAATGATGTATAAATTGCAGTGAAAATTGCGGTAAAATTTATTGTTACTCATCGTACCATTTGTAAATTTCGGATAAATAACTGAAAAAAGAGCGGAAACTGAGATGACAAAATTGATTTATCAAAATTATTCAACTACTTTACTAATATCGAACTACTTCATCAAAACTAAAAGTAACCTTTTTCTTTGCACCACATTGAACTGAAACTAAGTTTATTTGGAGGGTCCTGTAAGTGCAAGAGATAACAAAGTCTACGCGGCATAATTTCTCTTTAAAAGGAACTCAGAGCAGAAAAAAAATAAAAACTGATTTTACTAGCATCATCTCAGACTAACTAGCATAATTTCACCTAAACTAGTGTAAAACTAAAAAAAGACGGGGGAAACCAATAACCCTTTTAATTTCCAAAATACGATACAAAAATTAGTTTTTACTTAAAGTTTTTTAAACTAAAATGGTCAAATCTCCAAAACTACTGAGTTCCAGATCTTCGTCATTTTAACTCACAAAGTGAACCCTACAATGAACGACAGCATACAACTGCACTTTCCATATTTGAAGAAACATCGAAACAATTTCAATTGCAAAATCATCAAGTTCATTAATGGGACTCATAATCCAGCGTAATTAGTTTTTAAATATCAAACCTTTTTTTAGTAATTTAATTGTAAATTAAAAACAAAATTTTGAAACATTATTAAAAACGTCGATTTCGATATATTTTAAAAATTGGAGAAATATTATTAGTATAGAAGGCGTCGTCTACATCCGCTGGTAGTACCTTGACATCTCTCCACCCAAGGAGCGACCATTTCAAGTTTTGAAGTTTTTTTTGAAATTTATCACTTATGATCACAAATTTTCAAAAAAGATTTAAAAAAGTGTCACATTTAAGAAAATAAAAGCGTTGAGCAGTCATTATGGAGTCCCTTTAAGAAGTTGTTTAGATATTAAATTTTTTGAAAAAAATTTAAAAAAGCAAACAACGGCATATCTCAGGAACAAAAATGTTTGAGCAATAAAACTTGGAGAAGATCTGAGAGTACCCTGAGACTATTCTACTATAAAGTAGGGAATTTGTAAAATTTTTATGCATGTTCTTTTAATTTTTATGAAAAATTTCGAGAAATTTAAGAAAAAAACGTCACATCTCGGAAACCAAAAGCATTTGAGCAGTCATCTTGGAAAACAAGATTTGAAAGCCTTAACAGGATCTCGGCAGCACCTAACTACTGGGTTGGAAAATTCAAATTTTGTGAAACTTTTGAAATCTAGATTTTCTGAACAATTTCTCGGAAATTTAAAACATTTGAGCAGTCATATTTCGATGCAAGATTTGCAACGCCAAAAAGTACCCTAACAGCACCTTACTACACAGAGTTTGAGAGCTCTTGTCAAGTTTTTTGTTTCTTAAGTTATTTGAAAAGTTATGAAAAAATCTTTATAAACGTCACATTTCGGAAACCGAAAGCATTTGAAGAGTCAAATTAGGGGGCAAAATTTGCAACACCTGAAGGCCTCCAGACAGCGCTTCACATTATAGAAATTCAGAATTTCATTTTTTGTCTGTTTTTTTTTTTAAATTTTATTTATGTTCTGTTTTTATGTGTTCTTTTGAATTTTTTTAAAAATCACAAAAAACGTCACATCTCAGAAGCTAAAAAGAATTGAGCAATTATATTTTGAGATAAAATTTACAACTCGTGATAGTAACCTGAGAGCAACCAACTACAGAGATGAGAATTTCAAATTCTATACAATTTTTAAATCCAAGTCTAATGAAAATTTTCGAAAAACTCAATCGTCGTCTCTCGTAAACCAAAAAGATTTGGGCATTCATAATTGGCGGCCCATATCGTAATCCCTGGGGGCACCCTGACAGCATCTAACTTTTTAATTGCTAATTTCTCACTTAGGCGAAATAAATACTGAAATGAACCTGGAAAATCGAAAAAACTTCTTAAGCATTCCAATATACGATATAGCTTAAACGTCCAAAAATTCTTTAGTTAAACATGCAAAAACAATACGTGACAAAATGTTAAACATGGCAGATAGTGCAGTCCACATTTAAATATAATTTAAACATTCCAATATACAATATATTTTAAACGTTTAAAAATTCTTTCGTCCAAAACATGCTAAAATAATACGTTCAAACAGATTACAATGGCGAGATAGTGAAGAGCCCGCATTTAAATATATAATAGAACAATAGATAGAAAGATAGCTAATAGATTAGTTCGCCAATCCAAATAACTTACTATTTCAGTCAAATGGTATAAAATCAAAATTTGAGCGTACCTCTTCAGTTTCTCACGTTTGTAATCAAATTTCGATGCCTTTTGCAGACCTCTTTCAGGCGTTAAGTTTCTTTTGCGTCTACCCCTATCTCTTTTAGCATCTTTCTTTCGTTTGTTTGCACCTTCAGGATCAGGTGGTTTGATCGTTGGCCTATCGAAATCAACATCTTCTTCGGAAGAATTCAGTCCAGACACTTCGTTTTCCGAATTCTGATTACTGTCTGAGGAGCCATCAACTTTCTCAATTTTTGATTTGAATTTCGGCATTATCTGAAAGTATTTCAAAACTGAAGGAGGTTGGGTGGGTATTCACAAGTACCAAAATGATAAATCAGTCCCATTTGTACCAAAATAAAAAATCAATTCGTTTAGTACCAAAAAAATTAAATTGGCCTAAGACTATTAAGCCGACTACTTCAAGCTCTTGGTTTAAGGTCGCCGGTGGGCGCGCTGCGCGTGCGTCGCCGCTTCGCGGCGATAACCGGCTCTAGTTTTCGTATAGAGTCCTACCCTCTGTTGGCAAGCTAGCAACACGTTGGCGCGACTGCGGCGGTCACTATTCTGCTGTTTAGTTTTCTTCTGTTTGAACAGTAGAAAATTAATGTAATAATTCGTTGGCTCACAGTTCGACCAATCAGAAAACGAGTTGAATAATTTTGGTACAAATGGGACCGATTTTTCATTTTGGTACAAATGACCGTTGGTACAAATGGGACGTCACCGGGATTTGTTAAACGAGCTGGCAGAAATAAATAACAATTTCAACAAAAAGGCGAAGCAAGGTTTGCTCAAGCGTGTAACATTCGCCCGAAGTACATACCAACGGAAAACAAAGCCAGGTTCTAAAACGACTAGCTAGCCGCTTTACATGCTTTTACACAGCTTTACATGCTTTTAACCGTCTCTACCAAAGACAGTTCAATGTGTGGTCCTTTAACACCGAGTCGACAAAGTCATTACAATTTACGGCTATCGGCGAAAAGACGCAAACTAACTTTGTTCTATGCAAAAATAGTGAGCCATGGCTGTGTCTCAGTATCCCCAGACCACGAGGTCACTCCTCCTAAAAACAGGGCTACTACTTATTATCATTTTACTATTGTTTGTCAATTCAATTCAATTTACAAGATGTCACTAAAAGTATAGTGTCCTTGAGTAGGACCTCTCTTCGAGAATGGAAATGTCATCGGTGTGGAACTGGGATCGGAATGTTTTAAAGATATTGGCAGGGTGAATTCCCATAGGTTCCAATATTCATAGGTTCCAAAATAAAAAATCAGTCGCATAAGTTCCAAAATTTATCTTCTTGAATTCTGATTGGTTAAAATTTGAGCCAACGAATTTATGGATTGATTGTTTACTGTTCAACCAGCATAAACTCAAGCTGCAGAATAGTGACCGCCGCAGCCGCGCCAACGTGTTGCGAGCTTGCCACCAAAGGGTAGGACTCTATACGAAATTTAGAGCCGGTTATCGCCGCAAAGCGGCGACGCGCGCGTAGCGCGCCCACCGGCGACCTTAAACCGAGACTCGGCTAATTTAGTCTTTTGACCAATTGGAAAGATTTGGAACTTATGCGACTGCTTTTTTATTTTGGAACCTATGGGACTGATTTTTCATTTTGGAACCTGAATACGCACCATTGGCAGGCTTCTGACATCGTCCGCCCCATTTGGGTAGAGAGATGATATGCTTGTAAGTGTCTTTGGCAGCGGTTTCTCGACGCAGAATATGTCCGAGGTGCTTCTGTCTTCTTCTCGTCACGGACACGTATATTGAAACCTTGTTGGTGTCACTGATGAAGGGGTTTTATCAAACTTGTCTGTACTTATTGATTGCTGCATATGCTAAGCCGTTTCGCGATGGTTAATGTCTGCAGTATCATCGAGTATGGCACCCAGTTCCTTTGTGTTGTGTCAGTTGTCTTGGAATCGGCCACATTGAGATTATACTTGCCGAAAACGTCTCTTACCATCTGTAGCAGCTCATCGGATGAGATTTTATCACTCATGCAGATAAAATCGATATCGTCTGCATATTCACGTGAGGTGGTAACAGAATTGAATCAGTGGCGTAGGTATGATCGCTATGCCGGGTTCTAATGCGGTTTACCTCTTCCAACGCGTGATCCAGGTAGAATATAAATAATTTCGGCGATTGTGCCATGTGACATTCCACCAGAATGGTCAAAATGCAATTTCGCATTCGAATTTCTATTGGAACATAAAACCGAGAAGATTGATGCTTTTTATGAATAAGTGACGTTAAGTGAACGATCAGACAAATCGGGAAGGGTTAGGTTTGACTGACATGCTAATTTTTGAAATTTCGATTTGGACGTAAACGACACGTAACCTTTTACTATTTCTCACACACTGAAACTGCGAAGTCAGAACAACAGTATTCTCAGTGACAAAAACAAAGAAAAAAAACGGCAGAAGATTGAGATTGTGGTTAGAAATTGTCAGAAACCACTCCGAGTTGTAACGATTGTGCCGCTACAATCGTTACAGAGCAGTTCACAAGAACCGGGAAGGGTGTTGAGACGACGTGTCCAGCCTTCCGAGAAAAAATAAGATCGTTATTTCTCCGGATTCCAGAATTCGGAAGGGTCTCGGGAGAGAACTGTAATTCATGATTTTAACAAATTTTAGCTTCCCGAAATGTCTTGAGTTGAATTTAATTAATACCAAATTGGTTTTCAGATAATGAGAAGCTTGGAGTTGGGGGAAAAGGTTGATCCATCTTCGATGGAGATGATGATTTTTATCTACTGAACAAAAACAATAGTATTATAATATATAAGTAGTAGCCCTGTTTTTAGGAGTGACCTCGTGGTCTGGGGATACTGGGATACTGAGACCCAGCCATTAGCTCACTATTTTGCATATAATTAAGTTAATCAGAGCGTTCTGATCGAAGCCGGAAACAGTAACGATTTTTGTACACCCGATGTTAGAAAGACCACCAAAAGAACTGGCTTTGGCAGAGACGGTGAAAAGCATGTAGAGCTGTATCTAGACGCAAGCCAGTCGTTTTAGATCTAGCTTTATATTCCGTCGATTAGTACTTCCGGGCAAATGTTACATAGATGTTTTTATGGCGCTGCTGGGTGTTATTCTTTTTAACATCTTGACCGGCAGAATCGTTAACGAGCTCTCCGCGCCGAGCGGATGCTCATAACAAGGCCCTTACCACCGGGGCGGAAGGGTAGTTCGGAACGCGGAAGCCTTCCGGATTCCCGTGAATAGTTTTTTAACCTAGTTACGACCAAAAATTAACGAACCAGGAAGGGTAAGGGATTCGCGGTCCCGTCATTTTCTGAGTGGTACGTGACCAAAAACACTTAAAGATATACAGGAAACCAAACAAAAAAAGCATAGTACCTAAAAAAAAACAAATAAATAACCGAAAAAACCAAAAACAGTAAAAAGGTGTAAAATCGGTAAAAATCATCCCCATGACGAGATGTGATCCGACCCTCCCGTTTGTTATTGTTAGATATAATGTCCTTACAATCAATTATATCAGTCAGGATCGTTACGATCAATTTTGTGGACCGTTCGTGGTGCTTGTACTGTAGGGTTTTTTGAGTATTTAAGCACGTGCTATAATTTGCGCTCAATCCGGAAGGGTCTCGGGGTTAGAGAAGAAGACTGATCCGGCAAGCAGTTCAAGGAGCGACAAGAGGGGGCTCAAGGACAATGCCAATCGACTGTTGGGTTCTGTTAACAAGTTTTGTATCCCTTTTGGTACAAAAAGTAGGATTTAAGTGACTGTTGTTCGGACAACGTTCGCTAGGTTTAAACGTTGTAAACGCTAGGTTGAATCGATAGGAAGTGGTTGGAACTATTTTGGTACCGAAAACAGAATTTTCGCTATTTTTGATAGTACGAAACACTATAAATTCAGACCATTTTTTGAAATTTTTGAGTTAGGACAGCAAAAATAGTTGTTCGGACAACGTCCACTAGTGAATCTACAAGTTTTAAAGCCCGATTGCCGATAAACTTCCGGGTTACAGAGAAATCGAGCTTTACGTGTGTGATTTAGTGGATTCATCAATCCGGAAGGGTCCACATAGCATTGTTTTTCGCAAGTTATTTCAGCCGGAACGTTTTAGATCAGGTTTTTTGCATTGAACTTGAAGATTATAGGCCTTCTGAGCTCGGATCAAAAATTTTTAGGTCAAAAAGATCAGAATTGCGAAAAAAGTTAGGCGGAGCCTATAAGAGAGAAATTTTTTTTGATTTTAGAAAAAAGACGTTTTGGTTAATAACTTTGGAGCAACTGGACAGTTCTAGTTGATCTTGGTACCATTAGATCACAAATTGAGTGTGCTTACTCATAAAATTTTCAATTATTAGAAAAAATAAGCGTGAAAATTGTTTAAGATTGTTTCTAACAAACTCACTAACTCGGGAAGGTAGACACTTCACGTTTTATAAGTTTTTTTGGAAAGCCCAAAGGGTAGTAACGGTTGAATAAGTCAATTTTACGCTGTTCTAGACAAAAGGGAAGGCTATGGAAACAAGATAACTATAATCGAATCAAAATTAGGCTAGTTATAAGACCCTTCACAGTTAAAGTGAATTGTCAAATAAGAGGCTTAGCTTCAATCCGGAAGGGTCTTGGGACAGAAAATACACCCTTCCTAGTTAGTTCCTACAGAAGAATAGCATCGGGGGACGTATCCCGAAGGGTATCGGAAGAAATTTTTAAAAGTCCCGGATAAGCTATTTTTGCCAATCCGGAAGGGTACTATTTTTACCAATCCGGAGGGGTCCTGTTTTTGCCAATCCGGTAGGGTGGGTCCCAATTTTGCCAATCCCTAGGGATCCTGTTTTTGCCAATCCGGAGGGATCCTGTTTTTGCCAATCCGGAAGGGTCCCATTTTTCCCAATCCGTAGGGGTCCTGTTTTTCCCAATCCGGAGGGGTCCTGTTTTTGCCAATCCGGAGGGGTCCCAAATTTGCCAATCCGGAGGGCTCCTGTTTTGCCAATCCGGAAGGGTCCCATTTTTCCCAATCCGTAGGGGTCCTGTTTTTCCCAATCCGGAGGGGTCCTGTTTTTGCCAATCCGGAGGGTCCCAAATTTGCCAATCCGGAGGGCTCCTGTTTTGCCAATCCGGAGGGGTCCTGTTTTTGCCAATCCGGAGGGGTCCTGTTTTTGCCAATCCGGAGGGGTACTATTTTGTCAAAACTTAAGAGGGCATAAGAAAGTAAATAGTCAAAGGTATTATGTTATTAGGAGACAGGCTAGGAACCA